TAGAAGCTGAAAAAATTGCTATGAAGGAATTGGGAATTCAAAGGTTTGACATCCCTTTAGGTTGACATAGGCTATATATAGAATTTAATAACTTTTGTCAATTTGATAAAATATTTTGAGAATGTTTGTTTCTCTAACATTTTTTGTCATTTAATAAAATGTTCTTAGTAAATATCACTTGTTTGAATTGATGGCATGTTATAGTTATACTTTCTTAAATGATATTTTGCGCTTAATTGTTGGCATATATGTGGCACCTTAATCTAATGGCATAAATGGTAATGCTATTTGTGAAAAAAAAATCATAATTATCATTTATATATTTAAAGTTTAATATAATATTTAGTTAGTACTAAATAGAAAATATTTCATTTTATAGATGGTATTATTCTTTGAATAATAATGTTATATAGATGAATTTTTTATTCTTAAAACAATAAACCATACAACCTCTTTGATATAATATTTTTTTTATCAATTTTGCCATGTTATTATAAGCTATTCAAATTAGTTATTTGTTATTTTCTTACAGGGCTATGCTATCTTAAGCTAGTAAGTTGTTTTATTTGTTCTTGTAGGGCTAGAATGCATGGCTGGCCAAATACATATGTATTTACAAAGGCCATGGGAGAAATGCTTCTAGGTCATTTAAGAGGAGACATGCCGCTTGTTATTATGCACCCAACCATTATAACAAGTGTCTACAAAGACTCACTACCAGGTTGGATAGAAGGAGTTAGGTTAGTGCATATATACCTTCTCATGTTGTTTATATTTAATAAAGTATTTTCATATTTGATTCTTGATCTAAGTCAACATTCACTTAATGTTGTAGGATAATTGATAGTGCAATACGTGGTTATGTAAAAGGAGATATTTCATTCATTTTAGGAGATCCAGAAGTAGTTTCAGATTTGGTCAGTTATCTTTATTTGCATTGATGCTACATATTTACATGAAAATAAATAAGTTGATATATATATATATATCTTACATAAAATATTGGTTTCATATACATAATAAAGGCTAATTTATGCACCTAAAATATATCACAATGACAAGATAAAATTAACTCTATCATTATAACTTATTCATGCATTCTAACTTTGATAGATTCCAGGAGACATGGTGGTGAATGCCATGATTTTAGCAATAACAACACATTCAACTCACCATTCAGAAGTCATATATCATGTGAGTTCATCTGTAAGAAACTTGGTGAAACTTTCAGCAATATAAAAATGTCTCTACCAATATATAGTGAAGAACCGTCAGACTCGTAGTGATGGAAAGGAAATCAAGGCAAATAAACTTCACTTCAAAAGAGCAATGACAAGTGTTCATATAAACATGCTTCTTCATTATCGCCTTCCTCTTGAGGTAAACTATTTCCTTTTTAGATTTTTTGTACTATTTCTTTATATATATATATGAGTATGTAATTTTTTATATGTGGTTTTAACTTGAGCTTATTATTCAAGGGAGTGTGGTTAACAAAATATCTTTGGTGTTGTGGATTCCTGTTTAGGGCTTGCGCTTGATGAATCTAGCCCTTTTTGGCCTGTTTACTCAACAATACAACACATATTGGAGGGAATATAAGCGTGTGATGCGCCTTGCTGATTTCTATGCACCATATGCATTCTTTAAAGGAAGGTAAGCTCAAGTTTATGAGTAAAGAGTAATAATAATTATATTCATTATATTTGAGATATCGATAATATTCTTATTCATTATTGTGATTGACTGCAGCTTTGATGATTCTAACTTAGAATGTTTGAGAAAGGCAATGGTGAATAATGATGAGATGAAGTTGTTTGATTTTGATCCCGTGAACATTGAATGGGATGATTACTTGATTAACATTCACATTCCAGGTGTAATCAAGTATTTTCTTAAGTAGAATATTGACAAATGATATTAGGCCGCTTATATAGCTTTAATTTGTTGGAGAGCATAAGCATTAAATGATTGATGCATGCTTTTGATTGTAGTATTTGTTGAGCACACCTAGCTATTCAGCTTAAAATCAAATTAATCACAATTGTATTTCCATCAACTACAATGGTTAATTTATTATGAAATGTATTTGTGGATTATAAGTCAATAAATGTGTTTGTTAATGTGGCCTATGAATTTATAATTTTAATTCTTGATGCATTATAAGAAAGATTGGGATGGCTTGAGAGAGGGTCCTTGTCTTGGCTACTGGTTTTTGTTTGGTGAGTTCCACTTATATTTAATTTTTTCTTTTCTTATAACGAATTTATTGCTCCAATAAGATTGATTGTAATTAAGAAGTAGAAATGAATAGTTCTAGGCTCTTAGTTTAGCTTGATCTTTGAGCAGAACAAATAGTATTTGACACAAGTTCAAATGCTAGGTTCGCTTACATGCCCAGTTTGGACCATTTGGTTTAAAGTTAAAGAGGTGTAATGTATTCCAAATGCAGAGGTTTTTAGAATATTTTTTTTTGGTTTGAAGTTTAAAATTTTGATATATTTGAAATTCACTCTCTAGTTCATAATTGTGTATTTAGAACTACTCGGATTTGGGCTAGTTTCAAATACACTAAAAATTCGTTATCTTATTTCCACCCATAATCTATGGTGATCACCAACAACTACCACCAGCTGACCCCTGACCATAACCATCTTCATCTGCCACCATAGTTTTCATCGACCAGCGCTGCCATCGACCACCAGTCACCACTATTATCACCAACAACCATTCATGAGCATCATTATTAACCACCAACCACCATTACCATCATACACCACCTACCACTTGTTGACCACTAGCTGCCGACCAAACGGTCGATCAACAATGTAAGAAATGGAGTGGCAAGTTACAGGAATGTGAATGTGAGAGTTAAAAAAGAAAAAAAAAAAAACACGAGCCATAATGAATACATATCATGCATAAAAAAATAATGTTGCTCCAATTAAAAAAAAATTACCTGCAAGACTATGTTAAGGACAAATAAAACTTATGTAGGGAATTTTTCGACATGAAAGTTTTTAAGGCGCTTATTTAAAAGTGTCTTAAAAATATTGTAGTAATAGAGGCCTACACATTAATTAAAAAAAAAAAGATTAAAAATCCTTAAAAGATCATATGCTCTCTAAAACAAAAAAATAAATAAATCAAAAAAACAAAAGAAAACCTGACAGCCAATGATCTAATCTAGTTACAACCAATAAAGAGAAAAAAAAGGAAAGGAAGATCATCCTAAAAGCCCTCAGGGAGAACAAACCAATAACTAACCAAAGACAGAGCCAAGAGATGACCAACAAAGGAAAGCATCAAGCAAAACAAAAAGAGACGACCACAAAATCATAAGCAAAAACCGCAAATAATACCTGACATGGAGCCAAACCAAACACCATAATAAGAAGTAGTAGCAGAAACCACCAACCAGTAGATCTACAAAACAAGAAAACTCACCCTACCAACAACCAACACCACTCAACAAGGAATAAAACAAGGAGACACTAGCCAGGCCACACCCAAGAACGACCACTAACAGCACAGCCAACACAACAATAAATCAACCCCCCAAAATTAGAAATAGAATAGCCACACGACACCCAACACAACACCTAAGAACAACCACCACACTAAGCAAGCCAAATAACTAAACCATTGACCAAAGAATAAGGATCCCAAAATAATATATAGAAAGACCACACCCCAGAAGAAACAAGAAAGAGAAGAGTAAAGAAGTATTAGAACAAGTAGAGTTGGTAGCAATATATTTAAAGTTTTGCACAACCTTTTACCTTTAGATTTTTTATTTTTTATTTCTAGCCATTGAAGCAAACCCCTCATTATCAACATGAATAACATAAAAATAGCATCCTCCAGTAAAGCATTACAATTACCAATGCTAACTTCCCCAACATTCCTCACAACACCTGATGAGTCATGCAACCAATTAGTATTATCAACATAAGTGCTATCATTAATACATTCACAAGAGAATTCTTGAATCCTCATGAGACCAAAGCCTCATAAGAAATAATTAATATCAATAATCGATTCCATATTAGAGAAATCAGAGTAATTAAAACTAGCCAAAAGGAATAAAAATATTTTCCTGAACATTGTTATTATCCCTAACATCAACCACAATGTCTTCCCCTCTATCAACCAAAGACACTTCAAGATCAACAATAGCGGGAACTAAAGTGGAAGAAATAGTAAAACCTCTAGAACTAAAAGGAGCTAACCGATAGGTTTCTTTACCAGCAGCATTCACTGATTTAACATTAGTAGGAGATTCCTTAGCTAAATGAGGATGAAGGCTAACACATTCCTTTTTAAAATGACCCAATGGTTTGCAATGCTCACAAAAGGAGGGGAATTCATCCATCACAATTTTTTGTATATAACCTAATTTTTTAGGATCAAACCAAACATTGTTAAGATAATATTTTGTAATGTCTAGTTCCACCAACACACAAATAAATTACAGACTAGAGCCAATCAAAGTGGGAGTATCAGTATGAAGGGGATAGCCAAAAAGAAAACTAAGATTATTTAAGATACGTGACGAGGACAAGTGCAAGCATTGATATAAGAAGGAGACTCAAATCAGAACAATGGGTGATTCCTCGTTGATGTAAAAAAAGGGAACCATTTGGTTTGTTTCATGAAACAATAGATAACAAAATATGAGCGGTGAGTAAAAAATTCTACAATAATCCATATCACTACTCATTTTTATCAGAACATGTCGGGAATTTAACATAATATATGAATACTCACCGAAAAGGTTTAGGTTAGAAAAGAATTTTTCGATCAAATCCAGAGAAGGCCTACGATTAGGAAAGTTTCCAACCAAAGAAAACTCAAAAGGGGTAGCAAGTGTCAAAACCTCTTCTTTCAAAATCCAAAGCAATGACAATCCACAGAGAGTCAAAGTTTTAGGATTTGGAAATAGCACAAAAGATGAAGCTCCCGAAAGGACATCAAGAAAAGATCTATAGTTAGATTTCTTGTTCAAAAAGACTTGATCGTTCAGTCTCACTTGATTAACCACCATTGGACAAGACGAAGGTGGAACAATTAAGGAGTTGCAAATAGGGCAAGCCAAGAGATACGAGAAACACTGGGAGAGGAAAAAGGAGCAACTGTACATTTTTAATCTTTAAAGGAGGCTTTCCACCAATATTTCTCTTAAGTCTAATAATAAAAAAAAATTGCTTTTGAATTATATGTTAAATAATATGAAATTATTAATAACTATTACAATAGCAAATTAGAGGTTAAACCTGACTATCATTAATAATATTAAATATACAATTTATTCATTATATTTTTTACTCCATAGCACTAATAATAATTCGAATATTAAAATTTAAGCCGTATATCAACCTTCCCGATCTTTGTATTAAAAAACTTAGTTCTTTTTGGTGTTGTAGAAGCCTTTCTTTTAAACTGTTAAGCAAAATATGAAAATCAAACATCAAAAGAGAAGTTTACATGAAGAGAAGAAGAAACAAATAAAGAATTCCCTTTTCTGTTCTCACCCCAGAACTTTCCCTTCCTCACAAAAATAGAAAAAAATATTGCCTATTTATACCCTTATAGTAGCTTACATAGTAGAAACAAAGTTAGAACTAAAGAAACCGATTGAGTAAAACTGGACCACACATCAACAGGTGCTCACTGTCCCTGCATGTTAATCATTTGATAAAATGCCTTAATAACATTGACTGGCTATTCATGCTGAATTGCATATTCTAGGTTTACTCAATGATGATATTCTTCTTTTAATAATATTGTGTGGACTTTCTTTTCTCATATACGTATAAAAAAATAGAAATGTTGACCGTTTCTTTAAGTCCATCTTAGGCTTCGTTTGGAACAATTTTCTTACTGCTTTCTAAAAGGATTTTTTTGTATAAAAATTTCTAATTCAAGAAATTTTTGTACTAGAAAACTATTTTAAAAAGCACCAAAAAAATTGTCCCAAACTAAGCCTTATTATATTTTAGCTTAATGGCTTTATAAAAATCATTTCTTTTTTTTTTTATATTAAAAAACAAGGGAACTTTAAGGTTCATGAATTTTGAAGTTGTTTACTCACATAAATTATAGTGAGTTTATCTCCATAAAATGTAGATCTATCCTAGTCTTCAATTTTATTGACCAAATTTGTTTGATGAATTATTTCAAGGATTTAAAATCAAAACTATGTGCACCTTGCATACATGATTTTGTAATTCTGACCACCAACAATAGTGCCACTTTGTGGAGAGATTATTGCGTGGGATCACCGGACCGTCCGGAGGCCAATCAATATACACAATGTCACCTAATACACAACATTACACAATAATGGTAAATAGTATATGGTGATGTGCCATGTTCTGATTGGCTTTCATACAGCTTCAAGTGATCACATGTAATCATTTTTCCACTTTGTGACCTCTTGTGTATAAATGCATCCCATTTAGATGCCTCGATTTACATGTCACTTTATTATGATAAAATATTATGCAATTGTTGGAGCATTGTTTCATGTGATATTTTGTCCAGCGTAGGATATTGTACAATGATATTATCGTATCAATTGGAGCTGCATGATTTTAAGGAGGTAGTTGTTGATTACCATGCATTATTTTATGTATCAACTTTGACATATTTATTTCATTGCATGAAAATCTCATTATGTTAAATATTGGCCAAGATTATTTATATCATTTTGTTAATACATGCTCGTGTTCTTTTATGTTATTTACAAGATATTTATATAAATGCCTCACTTTATGAGTCACAATCCTCAAGTGAGTCCCCTTTTATTTTATTGAAGTGTGCATGCATTCCTTGGTAGCCACTCGATCCATATGATCATAGCCCTATATGAGAAATAATTTCAAGAACATTTTACACAAC